CCGCCCCGCCCCGGGCTCAGGCCGCGACCCCGACCTTAGGTCCCGCCCCCGACCTCAGGCCCCGCCCCCGCCCCGGCCCCTCCCTCAGCCTCAGGCCCCTCCCCGCGCTCCGCGCCCTGCCCCCGGCCTCAGGCTCCGCCCTCGGCCTCAGGCCCCGCCCTCGCCCCTGCCCCGCGCGCCCGGGACGCCAGACCTCCAAGGAGCGACCGGCGGGACGCACTGGGAGTACACGGGACGGCGTGATGCAGTCGAGTAGCCGCGATGCGGAGGCTCCATACCGGGGCCCGCGGGTGCTGGTGGTGGGCGGCGGCATCGCGGGGCTGGGCGCCGCGCAGAGGCTCTACCACCATCGGGCCTTCTCGCACTTGCGGGTCCTGGAGGCCACGGACCGCACCGGGGGCCGCATCCGCTCGGAGCGCAATTTCGGTAACGGCCCCTTCCGGGAGCCCCTTCCCGGAGCCCCTTTCCGGAACCCAACTGGCCCAGCTCGAGCCCACAGTCCCCAAGGTGAACCGACCCCGGAGCATACCTGGCCCCCAGGGGGAGCCTCCGCGCGGATCCCACTTAATCTGCCGGAGTTTATGGCCCCGGAACTCAGCTGTCCTCTTGCCAAAGTCAGCCAGGCCCATGGGAGGGGAACCTCCCGCCCTGTTCTGTCCCCGGCCCTCGGGCCTCCAGGCAGCCCTTCTGCTCCTAAGGGTCCCTGCACATGACCACCCCCCCACTCCCCCGCTAGTGCAGGGCAGCCCCCTTCAGGGATCCCTCGTAAGCCCGAGTCCAGTGGGTCTGTCCTGCACTGTGTGGGCCTGGCAGGCCTGTGGAGCGTTCGGCTGTGGTCTCTGGAGGGCTCAGGGCCATCTTCCCGGAAAGAGGACCTCTGGTGGCATGTCTCCTGCCAGGTGGTGTGCTGGACATGGGTGCCCACTGGATCCACGGCCCCTCCCAAGGCAACCCCGTGTTCCAGCTGGCCATCGAGTACGGGCTGCTGGGGGAGAAGGAGATGTCGGAGGAAAACCAGCTGGTGGAGTGGGGGGGCCACCTGGGCCTGCCCTTTGTGACATTTGCCAGCTCTGGGCGCAGTGTGAGCCTGGAGCTCGTGGCCGATGTTGCCAATGTGTTCTACACGCTGCTGGACCAGACCCGTGAGTTCCTGCATGTAGCCCAGACCCCCGTCCCTAGTGTGGGGGAGTACCTCAAGCAGCAGGTCTGTGAGCACATGGCCAGCTGGACAGAAGACGAGGACACCAAGAAGCTCAAGCTGGCCATTCTGAATACCTTCTTCAACCTGGAGTGCTGTGTGAGCGGTGCCCCCAGCCTGGACCTGGTCGCCCTTGGGCCGTTTGGGGAGTACACCATGCTGCCGGGGCTTGATTGCACCTTCCAGGGGTACGTGCCTGCTCCCCCTCCAGTGGCCCTCCTGCCACCAGGCCCCTCCTCTGGTCCCCTGGGCCCACTTCGCTCTCTGCCTGCACCCAGGGCCCCCACATGCACCCGGCACTGCCCCCTGCTGGCCAGACGCTCAGCTGTTGGAGGCAGGGGCTGGCAGGAAGGCCATCTGCCCTCCCTTGCCATGGTTTTGCTCATTTGGGGCAAAGAAGTGAACGTCTCGAGGGGGAGAGCTGTCTGTCTCCCTCTCCTCCCACATTTACTGAAGGCTCTTTGTGCTAAGTGGTGTGTGAGGGGCATCACCCAACACGCCCCTCCCCGGAGGCAGGGGGCTGCCCCCAGGCCCGCAGCAGACCCTCCCCGGTAGGCTCTCCTGTGCTGCCCCAGGTGTCCCCTTCCTTAGCCCGAGGCTCCCGAGCAGGGGGCTGGGTGTTTGTGGCTTGGGATCTTTGCCTTCATTAGCCCTTTAATCCTCCTGTTAGCCCGAGAGGCAGGTGTTAACATTCCCCCCCTGCACTCAGGAAATCACAGCTCAGGTGGCTGGATGGGGGGGCGTGATGGCCTGCGTCTGCTCTCCTGCACCCCGGCACCCTTCCTGGCAGAGCTGTGCATTGTGGGTCTGGAGGAAGCTGGTTTTCCCTGAGGAGGAGATCTGGCCTTTGAGACTGAGGGTCTGCAGGGTGTATTTCCAGGCACTCATGGCATCTCATCCCGCAGTGGCTACGAGGGACTCACGAGCTGCATAGCAGCCTCTCTGCCAAAGGACGTCCTGGTTTTCAACAAGCCCGTGAAGACGATTCACTGGAAAGGATCCTTCCTTGAGGAGTCGCTCCCTGGGGAGACGTTTCCGGTGTCGGTGGAGTGTGAGGACGGGGACCGCTTCCCAGCCCACCATGTCATCCTCACTGTGCCGTTAGGTAAAGCCAGGGCCCCCTCGGCAGACATCCACCTAGTGCTGTGTCACCGTTATCTTTGGGGTCCTGGCTTCACCACTGAGCTCACTTTTCACCTGAATAATTTCCATGTGGACCTGTAACCAGCTGCCATGACCCTGACGCACAGTGACCCTCTGAGTGCCAGGGTGGCACTGTGCCCCACAGGGTTGTCAGTGGCTGATTTTTCACAAGTAGTTCCCCATACCTTTCTTCCCAGGGCATCCCTGGGTGGACCTTGAACTGCCAACCTTTGGGTTAGTGGTCGGGTACATTGACCACTTGGCCCACCCAGAGGGACCACCCAGGTGCACAGAGCAGGCTATCGTGTCTCCAGGAGCTGCTTGCCGTCTTTGCCCACCCGGAGGTAGTTGGAAAGGGTCGGGGCTGCCTGCGGAGAGTAGCCAGCTTCACTTTCTTGGTGACGGGAAGAGGGCGTTAAAAGCCAGGCGTCAAGGTTAGCTCCGGTGTTCATCTGTGGATGGAGTTACAGATACAGTCCTCCCTCATTCTGGGCCTGGCACTTTAGAAGGAAGGTGGGAGTAGAAGTTGTTTGAGAATTTCGTGAAAAGGGGCAGGTGATGAACTAGGAGCTGTGGTTACTGACCACGGGCTCCACAGGGGCATTGCGCCAACACTCTGCTTATCTCAGCACTGCCCGTCACTATCCTCACAGGACACATGTGAACATTTGGGTGAAGCAGTTAAGAGATTTAATTACCCAGGTTCATAGAACCAGCAAGTGCCAGAGCCAACCCTGGCATCTTGGTTTGGCCAAAGGGTGAAAACTGAAGGAAGGGCCGCCACCGACGGGCCAGTGGTCAGCATGGTTTGTGTTCTGTTTGGCAGCTATGTGTGTACAGACCCATCAGTGTGCCTCTCTTCCCACTCACAGGATCACACCAGAGCTCATCCTGTCCTGGCCTGTGTTGCTGCTTTCCTTAGTCCTTTTTCTGTCAGTGTTTCCAAATCAACCTGTAGGTCTGTCACAACTCACAAAAATCAAACCCAGTGCCGTTGAGTCAGATGACTCATAGCAACCCCTCCTTGGGTTTCCAAGGTGTTATCACTACAGAAGTAGATTGCCCAACCTTCCTTCTGAAGAGTGGCTGGTGGGTTTGAACCGCCAGCCTTCTGGTTAGCAGTCAAGTGCCTGGCATTATGCCACCAGAGCTCTAGGTCTGTCATAGCCTCGCTTAAAGTCAGCGGTGGTGTCCTTCCTTTGGTCATTCATTCACTCAGTTTTGCAATACATGCTTCCTGAACCAAAAGCAAACTAGACACACTACCATCAAGTTGATTCTCTCTGGTGGCACAGTGGTTAAAGCATTCAGCTGCTAAGTGGAAGGTCCATGGTTTGAACCCACCAGCCTCCTCGGAAGGAAGAGGAGGCAGTTGGCTTCCCTAAAGATTGATAGTCTTGGAGACCCTCTGGGCAGTTCTAATGTGTCCCCTAGGGCCTCTGTGAGTAGGAAATGACTCCAGGGCAGTGGGTGTGGTTTGGACTTTGGTTCTGTGAAGATTGACAGCCTGGGAGACCCTGTGGGCAGTTTCACTCTGTCCTCTAGGGCTGCTGTGAGTAGGAAATGACTCCAGGGCAGTGGGTGTGGTTTGGGCTTTGGTTCTGTGAAGACTGACAGCCTTGAAGACCCTGTGGGGCAGTTCCACTGTGTCCTCTAGGGGCACTGTGAGTCGGATAAGTAACTGAGCCCCTATTAAATGCTAGTCATTGAGGATAGAATCAGCAGCTATAGTGTGATGGGTGTTGGAGATGGCCTGAGCTCCATTGTTTTCTTATAGCCACTTAAGATCCTCTTGTATGTACGTGTCATCATTTAATAACTGTTGGTGGGAATTTACGTAGTTTCATTTTTCTGTTTAACAGTTTTTCACGGACTGGTGTGTAGGATCAAGTCCGGTGATGGGTAGAGTGGGTCGAAGCCTGGCAGACGGCCCTGCTTTAGAATGGGGTTGTCGATGCCCACTCTACACATCCCCACAGTCTGTCAGTGGTCTCTGCCTCAGTTTCTATTGTGTGGTTCATCTTTTTCTCACTGACTTCACGAGCTCTTTCTTTGTATCTTAACAAAGGGGGCTTATTCGCACATGTGCTGCAAATATTTCATCTCCACCTGATTTGTTGTTTGCAGAATTTATTTAATTTTTGCCTTGCAGTTTCAGTCTTACGCAGCTTCTAGGTAAGACCTGTACATGTACCTGCTCCTGTCAAGTAGCTCTCGAGTGGAGTGGCCTACAGAGGTTAAGAGACAGAAGGTGGAAAACAGCCTTACAGACCAATTAGGGTGAGGTGGTGATGTTCAGGGGCCCTGCCTGACCAGCGGCATCATAGTGCCTGTGGCACCCCTCACCCAGAGTGCTGCCTGTCCTCACTTCTGCCTGCTGTGGGCCGTGGGCCGCTAGGATTTGCTTCAGTGAATGGGAGGTCTTTGGAGGGGGATGCAGCCTTGGAGTCTTGGTGTCCATGACAGCCTCTTTCTCCAACTCCTTGGATTGGGGTACAGGAGTGGGGTTCATGTTGGTTGTGGAGTCCAGTTTAAGAGATTCATGTGGGTGACCCAAATCCAATTGTGATTTCTAGGTTTTCTTAAAGAACACTTGGACACGTTCTTCTGGCCGCCGCTGCCCCCTGAGAAGGCGGAAGCAATCAGGAAAATGGGCTTTGGGACCAACAATAAGATCTTCCTGGAATTCGAGGAGCCCTTCTGGGAGCCAGACTGCCAGCACATACAGGTGGTGTGGGAAGGCTCTTCACCACTGGAGGACGCCAAGCCCGAGATGCGGGATGCCTGGGTCAGGAAGCTTGTCGGCTTTTTGGTCCTGCCCTCCTCTGGGTACGTATGCTTCCTGAGTTTGTCTGAGGGAACTGCAGGTGTGACCCTGAGTGTGTGCGGGCTCATTAGGCCTTCATTGGAGCGCCAGCAAGGTGATGATTCATTGTGGTGTGTTTCTGGAGAATTCCATGGGTGGAGAGCCCAGGAGGACCCCAAGGCCCTGGGAATAGACGCCTAATAGGCTCTAACTCCCTGCCAAGACAGAGGGAAGATTTCTGTATGCAGGTGGTCAGGCACTCAGGACCTAGCTGTGTGCAGATAGATAGGAGAGCATGTTCAATCAATGAAAAGATATCTGTTGACATTGTGTGGGAAGCTGGGCCTCGCAGATTGCAGAAGAAATATGAAACATGGGTCTGTCCGTAACTAGGGGGTGATACTTAAACATGATGTAATAACACACAAAACATCCTTCTATGTGATGGAATTGTAGAGCCATGAATAAAGCACTGAATCTCATGGCCCAGTCATTTAGTGGCGTATGTGAGATTAGGTACCCACTCAAAAAACAGTGCCACGGCTGATTTAGGGATGAACAGATTGATGTTTCTGGCAGGACAGAAAAACAAAGGCAGAATTTAGGGATCAGAAGTGGCTAGTTCAGCTGGCAACTCAAAGCACCACACACGTGCTGGCTGCAGGGCGCCCATCAACCTCTCACGCAGAACAAGTGCTTGTTAACTTCCACTTTGGCACATGGAATATTTAAAAAGTGTGTACTCAGGATGTAATAAAATTAATAATCCTTACTGCTCCAAGGAGTTTCTCCCCAGAGAATTTGGTTTTTTTTTCTTAACTACATGTGTGGCAATGAGGAACCCAGCGCTTGTGAGCACAGCTTGGGGCCATTGCCTCGGTTCTGCTGGGGCAGCAGTTTGTCCCACTTTGCTCTTGTTTGTCAGTGCACATGTCAACCTCATGGAATCTGCTAACACTGTCTTAGAGCTGTTATAAGGCTGGTTCTGGCCTCGCAGACCTCTGACCGGGTTGTGGACCCCCAGGATTTGGGGTTGCACTTGAGAACCACTGACTGACGTTCTCTGTCTGGGTTGTTGGAGAGCCTCCAAATGCTCACTCACTCCTTGTCCCCCGTCTCGGCCTTTCTCCGCACAGGTCTGCCCACGTCCTCTGTGGGTTCATTGCTGGGCTTGAGTCTGAGTTTATGGAGACCCTATCTGACGAGGAGGTGCTTCAGTCGCTCACCCAGGTCCTCCGGAAGATGACAGGTGATGACTCACCCCCCGCAGAACCACTGCTCTGTGCTTGCTGCTGGCTGATCTCTAGATGGGAAGGGAACTGTTCAGAACAGAGAAAAGCGAAATGTGGCTCTCTGACCCTCCGTCCTTCTGACCGTGGGGTCACCACCAGTCCTTGTCACCAAGGAACTGACCTGACTGCAAACCCTTTCTGCTACTTTTTTCCAAAATCTTCTGAGGCAGCGTAGCTGTCCTCAGCCAGGTTTGCACAGAGGAAGCTGAGGCTTAAACAAAGCACAGTGGTGAGGTCCTGGCCACACAGTTGGCTGGGACTCACCCTCAGCCTGCCCCAACGTGTGGGCTGTCATTCTTGCTCATGTGCACTACTCGTCTGTGCGTCTGGAGTTTCAGCAGATGGACAGGCAGGGCCTCTTCCCAGTACACTGTGCAGCTTGGTTTTCTTCCCTGGCTGTCCCTTTCATTTTAGAAACTACTTAGTCTTTAAAGAGAAGCAGGTTGCAAGCATGCGGGTGGGAATACGGTGTTAACAGGCTTGTCTCTGTGGTTCAGGGAACCCACAGCTGCCCGCACCCAGGAGTGTGCTGAGGTCACGCTGGCACAGCGCCCCATATACCCGGGGCTCCTACAGCTATGTGGCCGTGGGCAGCACTGGGGATGACATCGACCTGCTGGCTCAGCCCCTGCCCGTAGACAGCATGGATGCCCAGGTAGGTTGATGCCTTGTCCTTCCAACATAGGACAGGCTCCATGAGGGGGGTGAGGGAACTATGGGGGGCTGGGACCCCGTGACTCAGGATCCTGTTTCTTTTTATAATTAATAAGCTTTTCAATTCCTCTGTTAGTGTTATATGTGCACATGCTGAAAAAGCCAGGGAATTCATGGTGCTGGCAGGTTAAACCAAAGCAAAGCAAAATCACAGCCCAATTCAGCAGGCCAGTGGGGACACCACATCTCCCTCCCCAGGAGCACCTGCTCTTTTAGCTGATCCTTACCTCTGAATTTACTGTGTCTCTAAACAACATGTGCATGCTGCCACTTAAATTAAAACCCTTTCTTGTGGGGAACTGCAGATGTGTGCAGAAGTCACTGGGACTGTGTGTCCTCTCAGCTTCCACAGCTGTTGCCTCACAGCAGTGCTGTTTCCCTCCACCCCAACCCACAGCCACGTCCCCGTTTGTAAACGTGTGTTATACGTGACAGCGCTTCATCTGCAGACATTCCAGTGTGTGTCCCTGAAGAGGCACCCTTTACAAACACATTAACTTTGTAATTGACGCATAAACAAAAGATAACACCGGTTCCCTGGGATCACCCAGTGTCCGGTCAGTGCTTAGGTTCCCAGTGGTCTCGTGTCTTCTCAGCTCGCCTGTTTGATCACGTTTCCTCTGGGACTTTCAGCTGTAGGCGTTACTGACTGAGCTCTCCGTGTGGAAGAAGAAATTCTCGTTTTCTTCACTCTTCCGCCCACCCCAGCTTGCAAACACTCCTTCCACCCCCAATCATCCAGCCCAGCCACTCGACAGACATCCTGGTGGTGGTGCACTGTTACATCACCTTGTTTGTTCTGTAAATGCTTCTCACACCTGAGCTGTGGGGGTGCAGCATTTCCCACCCATTTGTGTGTGAGTGTGTAAGTCTATGAGTGTAAGTGCACGTGTGTAAGTGTGAGCATGTGAGTGTGGATGTATTAGTGATTGTGGGATTGTGTGTGTGTGAACATGAGTGTGTGATTGTAGGTGTATGTAGATGTGACTGGGTGTGTATGAATGTGAGTGAACGAGCATGTCTGAGAGCACAGACGTGAGCATGTATGAATGTGAGCATGCATGCATGTGGATGTGAATGTGAGCATGAGTATGTGTGTGAGTGTGAGTGTGAGTGTTGTGTGAATGTGTGAACATGGGTATATGAATGTAAACAAGTGAGCATGCATGTGTGAATCTGAGTGAGCGTGGGAGCATGTGAGTGAGCATGTGTGCATGAATGTGAGTGAATGTGAGTACTAATGTCTGAGAGTATGTGTGAGCATGTGAGTGAATGTGAGTGTGAGCAGGAGTGTGTGTGGGAATGAGTATGAACATGAGTGTGAATGGGTGTGAGTGTGTGTGTGAGCATGTGTGAGTGTGAGCATGGGTGTGTGAGTGTCTTACTCGGAGTCCCTCTGCCCCCAGCAGTCTAAACACCTGTCACTTCATCAAGCTGTGTCTGTCTCCTGTTAGCTCCAGCTTCTTGAGGCCACAATGGTGCCTGCTTCAGCCCAGCCTGTGGCTCTCTGTACCCCATATATGGCTCTTGTCCTGGGACCTTCTTCTGTCAGCATTATCCCGCCAATTCCCTGTGCCTCGCTCCCACTCTGGACCCTGTTTTCATCTCAGCTCCCTTGGCTCCGTCCTTGGTCTTGCTGGAGCATTTTCCCCAGTGGCCTCCTGAGAAAGGGCGCAGAGGAGGTCACGTTGAGAGCCTTGTATGTTTGGAAATGACTTTTTTTTCCCACGCTTACACTTGACAGTGTTCTGGTCCTGACTGCTGCCTAACAAATGACCTCAAACCTAGTGGGGGCCCGTCACTTCATTTGCTGACAGATTCTATAGGTAGAAATTCAGGGCACAGTGAGGGCAGCTTGTTTGTATTCCATGATGTTCCATGACGGCTGGGGAGACTGGTCCAGCAGTGAGTAACTTGGAACTGGCAGCCTTGAGCCGTCCGGAGCACTTTTACTCGGTGTCTGCACTGGGGCCTGGTGCACGTCCGTGTGGCCTCTTGTGTGGCTTGGGCTTCCTCACAGCATGGCTGCCTTGCATGGTAGCTCAGGCTTCAGCACAGGTGCCTATGGCATGGGAAGCTGACCTTGCACTGGAAGGCAGAAAGTGCCCTGCCTACTCGGCTGCCCCAGCAATCACCAGCCTGTCTCTACGCAAGTGGAGGGGGCGTAGCCCCACCTTTCCATGGGGGGCACCCGTTGTTGGTGAGTCAGTTCTGCCTCATAGCAACCCTGCAGGGCAGACTAGAACTGCCCTAGAGGGTTTCCAGGACTGTCAATCATTACAGAAGCAGACTGCCTCATCTTTCTCCCTCAGAGCAACTGGTGGGTTCAAACTGCCAACCTTTTGGTTAGCAGTTTGGCTACATGCTTTAGCTACTGCACCACCAGAGCTCCACAGAGCTAAGGAGGTAGCAAGACTAAGATCCATGCAGGCGGGTCTACTTGCAAAACCTAGACCCTTACCTCAACAACAGAAAACAACAACAACAACAACAAACCAAAACTCAAGCCAAAGCCATTGTTACCAGTTGGTTCCAACTCATGGTGACCCTATGAGACAAAGTAGAATGGGCCTGTAAGGTCTCCAAGGCTATAGATCTTTACAGAAGCCGACAACCACATCTTCCTCGCATGGAGCAGCTGGTGAGTTTGAACTGCCAACCTTTCGGTTAGCAGCCAAATGATTAACCACTGTACCACCAGGCCTTCTCTATCAGAGAAAAGATAATGCATTCATCCATTTAAAAACGCACGTCAGGTTAACAGCCGTAGCTTAGGAATCATGCCCCTTGGGCTTGAAGGCTCTTGAAAGGTGCTCTGGTGGTGTAGTGCCTGAGGCATTTGACTCCTAACCAGAAGGTTGGCAGTTCAAACCCACTAGCCACTCCACGGAAGGAAGACTGGGCAATCTACTTCTGTAAAGATTTACCACCTTGGAAACCCAAAGGGGGTCGCTATGAGTGGGAATTGACTTGATGGCTGTGAGTTTAGTTTGGTTTTTTGGACTGGTGCTGTTGGGAACGCTGGAGCCTTTGAGTTCTCTTCCTCCTTACGGCATTGGGGTGTTTCTTAAGTACTGTAGGAAGCTTGAAAGACAAGGTATTAAGCACTAACACTGACTGCGCTGAGTCTGGCGCTGCTCTGACCTCCACTCCACGGTAACCCATAGTACGTGTCTGCTTCGTGGCTGTGCTCTTGGAGGTCCCAGAGTGCTTTCATCCTGTGCCGCACCCTGGGCTAACCCTTTCCTTGTGGGAGCTCCTGTCCACCAAGCTGGATGTTCTTGGGTTACGTGCTCCATCGCCCCTCCAGGTTGTTCTCCCTCCCCCTCTTTCTGGGATTTCTCTATCCCTTGGACTTCTTGACCACTCCTTACATACTCTCCATCTTCCCCTCTGACTGCTCTCCGTTGGTTTTTGGCTCCACCATGTCTGCAAACCTTGTTGAGGTTCTAACTTTGCTCATGTGTTTGGTTCTTGCTCTCTGGCGCTCCCTTCACTGCTGGGGCTGCTGCTGCTGTGGTTTGTGCCAGTGCCTGGCTTTTGCTCTGTGCTCACATGCGTGTGTGATTCAGCACAACGAGCACATACACTGGCTGTCACCTCTGCAGCCACAGGGAAGGCTGACCTGGCCCTTCTTTTGCAGCTCCAGATACTGTTTGCTGGGGAAGCCACACATCGGACGTTTTACTCCACCACGCATGGGGCGTTGCTGTCGGGGTGGAGGGAGGCTGACCGGCTCATTGGCCTGCGGGACGTGGTGGCCGAGCCCTGAGACCCTCCCAGCCTGCTCTTGCCATACTTCTTCCGACAGAGGATGCTCAGCCCGGTGGAGACTTGGGAACACGATGGCACTCCTCCCTCTCCTCAAGTAGCCAGGGTTCACCCGCTGTCATCTCTCACATCCATCCTTGGGGCCCACCAGGGCTGAGTCCTAGCCTAGTGGGCCATCTCCCGGAGCCCAGGGGACATGGTGCCATGCAGACGGCACAGCTGCACACATAAAGGTGCTCACTCCGCTGAGTCAGTCACTGTCCTTTGTCCTCATCTTGGCCCCGTGCAGCTCCTCCCTCTGGGTGCCCCTCATTTCATATCTCCTGTGACTTTGGTGGCAGATGGGACGTCCCACTCCTTTGTTCATGGGCAGATGCTGGTGGGGCCCCACCGGGTGTGGTAGGCCGGGCAAGGCGCTCACTTGACTTCGTGAGCACCACTGAGGGGGGAGATGGGCAGCTACATGGAGGGGTCCTGGCCCTGTTGTGGGAGGGTCTGGAAGGAGTGGTGGGGTGGGGTGCGGGAGAGCTTGGGGGTGTGCTGCTTGCGGGGCTCTGCTCTCCGGCATTGCACTGCGTCATGGAAGCCACCCCATATGTTGGCTGCCTTATCCCCATTGTCACCGCTTAGCACTTGCCCAGGTTCACAGCTGCTAGATGGGAAAATGTGGGTCTGAATCATCTGGACGGCAATAGGTTTGGTTTTGTTTTTGGGCACCTCTCCACAACTCCAGACTGCAAGGCACTGATGTCCCCCTCCAGAGCCTGCGCTCCATCCTGCAGGCAGTGGGGCAGCTGGAGCCTAGTGGAGGTCAGCGTGGGGCCTCCCTCTGCAGAAGTCCCTGGTCACACACCTACCCCTGAAGCCCTCTTCCTCATGCCCTCCACCCCAGGTTGCAGTCCGTCTCCTTCTCCAGCTGGGCCTGGGCTGAGGGGCTCTGGCCTAGCCGAACCCACATTTCAGAGTGAGAGGGTACACGAGCTGGGAGGCAGGGCCTCTGGCCTGGCTCCTCTCCCGCCTCACAGGTACGTCTGTCCACAAGTGTGCCCTGGTCACCCAGCCCCTGGGCCTATGTGCATGGCTCCTTCCTTCTCACCCGTTGTCTCTGTTCCGATCCACTATCCCAGGGTCTCCCTGGCCCAAAGTCCTATCCCACGAGCCAGTTTCCTCCTGCAGACTTAATATGACCTGGTGCTCAGTGCCTGTGCTTGGCTGTGGTTCTGTAGGGCGGTTTTGCATGCGAGAACCAAACCAAAACCAAACCCACTGCCGTGGAGTCGGACTCTACTCATAGTGAGCCCTCCTTGGGTTTTCTAAGACAGTATCACTGCGGAAGTAGATTGCCCAATCTTTCTTCCGAGGAGTGGCTGGTGGGTTTGAACCACCAGCCTTCTGGTTAGCAGTCAAATGCCTTAGGCACTATGCTACCAGAGCTCCCTTGCATGTGAGAGAGATCCAGAATTGAGCAGGGTTTTATCTTCACTTACAGTCCCTGGACTGAGAATACAAGCGTCCCTGAGTCCAAGGACCTTCACTGTAGACTGAAACTCTGTCAGTCCATCTGCCTCTGGGAGGTTTGTGTGCGGAAAGGAAGGCCGGCCGTCTTGGAGGGAGGGGAACTGGGGTCTGAGGTATTTAAGTCAACCCCGGGTCAGCCTGGAAGCTCCTGGAAGGGCCCCTGTCCCCCCAGGCGAGGACACAGCTAACCCCAGGAGCAGGCGTTAGGAGCTTAGTAGGCACCAAAGCCACAGGGGGTGAATGTCTGTTGAGAAAGAATCTGAGTATCAGAAGCTCGGTTCAAAAATCAGACCGGTTAGGTGTGATACGTGACTGAACGTGTGGCTGTGTGTTCGCTTAGCTTCCCATGTCCCTACGGTCCTGTTGGAATGTGTCAGAGAATTCCAGATTCGCTGTAGCACCAAGTTTCCTTTAGCAGGATTGCAGCAAGTCTTTGGAGAGGGCATATTTGTTCCATCCAAGCCACTGAAAAGGAAAAATGAAGGTCTGACATTTTTAAAAGAGATGTAAAGTCTCCAACCAAGTTTGTAAACCGCACCCCACCGACAGGTGACTGCTGAGTTATGTTAAACGTATGCTTAGCATAAGCTTAAGAAAGATCTGGGATTTCTAACTGTAACAGAGCTTAATTATTTAAACAAGCCTGGGTGGCTGAAGGCTCCCACGTCCGCGGCCTTGATGTGCAGCGCGGGTCGGGTTCGCAGCCCGCCCGGGCCCCCGGGTCGCCCATCCCGGACTGTCGTGCGCATGCGCGGTCCGCAGTGCGGAACCTCTGCGCGCCGGAACCCCAGTGGCTGGTCTGCCGCCCGGCGGAGGAGATGCGCTGGCGGAGCGGCCCGTGCGCGGCGAAGGTGTTCCTGGGACAGTGGCGCCATGAGGTTGTTTCCGCGCGCCCTTGGCAGCGCGGCCCGATTCTCCTGGCGGGAGAACTTTCCCCTGGGCGGCCGTGATGTGGCTCGTTGGTTCCCGGGTCACATGGCCAAGGGTGAGCGCTGCGCAGGCGGCAGGAGCTCGTTCCTTAGGGTCCTGAGTGGTGGGGAAGGGGGTTCCGGCGGCGAGCGGAACAGGGCTAGTCCTCCCTGGGCTGCCGGTGCCCCTTCCCCGGACACGGGGCTCGGCTTGTGCCTCGGAGCCCGGACCGAGCAGCCACTGGACTGGAGGGACCGGCCGCCGTGCCTCCCGGTCCGAGCCGCTCTGCTTTCTCTGAGGCCACGCAGGCCGCTGCGCCGCTGTTGCGCACGTGTCCGAAAAGTTGCTAGACGTTCCTCGCAGGGTTCTCGGGGCTGCCACCCGGAAGCGGCTCGTTGTGCTGGGTCCCGAGGTCCCTGGCTGGGTTCGTCCAGCCTGCCGACCTTTCGGCTCGTCGTGGAGCGCTTCGCCCTGGAGGCCACCCCGCACAACTCTGCCCTTTGAGGAATAAACCCGTGGGCTGATGGGGCTCGGAGCGGGTTGCAGCTTCGCCCATCACCGCGATGCCTCAGCGTGTCTGGGGGCGTGTCTAGGATTTGGTTCTCACTGCTTTCTGTCAGAGTCTTAAAAAGACGTGGGTCGTGCAGTCCTCAGTCGTGGTGTTGTTATGTGCCGTGGAGTCGACCCCACTCATAGCGACCCCTCCTTGGGGTTTCGAGGCAGTGTCACTACAGAACTAGATTGCCCAGCCTTCCTCCCGAGGAGTGCCTGGTGGGTTTGAACTGCCAGCCTTCTGGTTAGCAGTCAAGTGCCTTAGGCATTATGCTACCAGAACTCTTGTCCTCAGTGTTGCGTCTGCCATTCCCGTTACCCCTCCCCCAGCACCCCCTCCCCGCCTAGAGAGCTCTGGTTCCTCCAGCGAGTGTCAGCCTTCCGCGCAGCCTCCTGCTGACTGCGGGTGCACGGCCCCCTAGAGAAGAAGACTCTGTTTGGAGGGCGCTCAGCCGGTGCTTACTGACTGCGGGTGCACCGTCCCCTAGAAGGGCAAGGCTCGGAGTGGAGGGCCCCTAGCCCGTCCTTGCTGCTGCCTCGTGCTCCTGAGGTGCATTCTTTCTTGGTGGTTGAAGGTGCAGTTTCCACGATTCCGTTGAAATCAGCTCTGCGTTAAGCGTCATGAAACCTCTGCTCAGGCCGTTTTCTTGCCTTCCAGGGCTGAAGAGGATGCAGAGTAGCCTCAAGCTGGTGGACTGCATCATCGAGGTCCATGACGCCCGGATATCCTTCCGTGGGACAGGGGCAGCGGAAGCGTTCCTGGTGGTTCCCTTGTCCTCACCCTCCTCCCTGCCTGGGCCCACAGAGGCCTGCAGCCCCCTGGGCTGGTCTTTGGCATTTCAAGTGGGGCCTCACCGTGAGTTGGTACAGTTACCAGGACGATTTTTGAACACCTGGGCCTGGTCCCGTTGCATACCAGTTCAAGCAGAGTTTCTGCTGTGGGATCTGGGCAGCGTATGTCTTTGAAACTCCCCATTGATGCGTGAGTAGGGTCCTCTTCCCAGGCCTTCTAACCAGTGTGTCTAGGCCATGAATCAGCTCTGGCCGTGGGCTTCTCCAAGCAGGACTCGGTGTCCCCTGGCCTGACTGCAGCTTCCTCCTGTGCTAAGGGCTGCCTCAGCAGGGGTAGCTGGCTTCATCAGTGAGCTTATTTCTCAGAGCATGTGTTTGCACCGCATTCAGATCTTCCTCCTACGGCGAGGTTGGGGGAGGACTATAACTGGCCAGCTGCCTTAATCCACAGGAGCTTGGGGAAGATGAAACTGTCAGCAGCTTTGTATGTGCTCATTAGACAGTGACGGGCAGTTGTCAGTGTACTGTGATGACAGGGTGATTTTCCTTCCTCATGGTGTTCTGCCCCTCTCACCAGGCCTCTGAGAAGCCCTGAGGATGGACTCCCGAGTGGGGATTGTGGCCCCTGTTACACCCAAGGCGAGGGAGTCGGGCTCTGCATTACCTTGGGACTGGTAGACCTCTCAGAGGAAGTGTGCCTTTTTGTAAAGTCCCTTTGCTGTGTGGTGTGGAATGCTGTGCACAGAGAGGGCATGCCAGAGGCTGGGGTCTTACAGGTCTTACAGCTGGCTGGGAGAGGAGAGATTAGGAGGCACCAGGCAGGGAGCCTGTGCAGTTGTCACACTAGGTGGGACCCCCCAAGTGAGTGCCAGGGGTCTGGCTGAGAGAAGGAGGGGCCTGCAGTGTGCAGAGGGGTGGGTCAGGATGATTTGGGAGGGAGTAGATGGGCTGGAGGCCTGGTGGTCCTGGGCAGTCACTGGAGGTGATCGTGGGTGTGAGAGGCTTTGTGGTGACAACTACTTTTGAGCGACCTACACACCTGTGTTGAGCGTGTGTGCTTGGCCACTAACTGGCGATCTAGTTACAGAACCTTTGTCTAAGCTTAGTTCTGTTTATGTTGTTATTGTCTCATTGCCAGTGCCTGCAAAGCCCTGTGGTGGCCCACTGCCCTGCCTGCCCATCTCACCCTACTCGGCAGAGGGGAGGCTCTGAGCATGGGCTTGGCTGGCCCTGGTCAGAGGTGTCTTTCTGAAGGGTACTAGGCCGTACCACAGATGTGCTCAGGCACGTGATAGCTGGTGAAGTGTCAAAGGATTCTTCCTTAATTTCGCAACATCCCACTTTCGGGCCGCAACCCTCTGTTCCAGGAGACCCTGGGCCTCAAGCCACATCTGCTTGTCCTCAACAAGATGGACTTGGCCGATCTCCGGGAGCAGCAGGTGAGGGCCTTCCTCTCAGCCACATCAACATCTCCCAGGGCCTCCTGCATCGTACAGTCTCAGTACAAAGTGTCTGTGAGTCCCTTCTCGGTGGCACAAAGGGTTCAGTGTGGGTTCTTGCAACCCAGGATGGTAGGATGCACCTGCTGCTTTGTAGGGTGACTTCTGTTGCAGTGGACAGGCCGTGCCGGTGGGCCTGGATGGGTATCCTTGCAGCCAGTGAGCTCCATGATGAGGTGCTACCGTGGCCACCCTGGCCACATAGGCTGTTAGTACTGTTGTGGCAGCCATGGCCAAGGTGCTGACTTTCACACCTGATTTGATTTTTTTTTTTTTTTTTTTAATTTTATTTTGATTTGGGTGAAGATTTACAGAGTAAATTCACTTTTCATACAGCAGTTCACATATACTTTGTCTCATGTCGTTGACCAAAACCTGATCTGATTTTGAAGTTTAATTAAATCCCAGTGGCTGCATGTGGTGAGTGGCTATAGTTCTGAGTAGGCTGACCTGGCGGTTCTGGTGTCTGTGCTCACCAGCTCAACAGCCGTGGGGAGCCCTGGGTTCTAGCCCACCGTTGGCTGCCCTCCACACAGCACAGGGTCTGTGAGTTTAATCCCTTACAAAGTGATAGATGAGGCCCAGGCCGGTCAGCTCTTTGGCAGCAGCATCAGGACACGGTGACCCCAGTGTTGAACATTTTCCACGTGTCCAGGGGTAATGGAAGCTTGAGGACTTTGGAAATGTCACCTTTGAAGCATCTGTCTTTTTTTGTTGTTATATCATCAGATCCTTAGCAAAGGGTGAGTGTCAGGCTGGTGTGTGTCTCTCCGCCGACTTGCCTATCAAATCCTTAGCAAAGTGTGGGTGTCTGGCTGGCATGTGTCTATCCTCTGGCCTGCTCCTAGGGCAGGATCTTCGCTGGGTGGCAGCCATGAGAACTTGGGTCAGCTTATTTGGTTCATCATGGCCGTTTGAGTTACTGAGACCCAGCCACATGACTCAGGTCTTTCCACTGTGAGGTCCCCAGGGATGCATTAGATGCTGAGCCGTGAGGGTCCTTTGGTCCTCGGGAATATGAGCAGGTGGCCACTTCCATAGCGGCCCAGGACGCGTGCCTGGAGACATGACGCCTTAACCCTCGCGTTCTGAGGACAGAATGCTCGTGTGCCGCTCACTTGCCGAGTATCATTTATCACTAGTGCTTTCAGTCACTCATCTGAGTTGAGACTTTTGAGTGTCGTCAGTAGTGCTCTGCCCTTAAATCTGTGTGGACTGTAGGAAGGCAAGCATGTCACTGGCTGGGCAGCCTGAAGGCCACGATGCTGCGATGGTTTTATTTCCTATTTAAAATGGAAACATTTGCCTCTTTCAGAAAATTCGGCAGCACTTAGAAGGAGAAGGCTTGAAAAATGTCATTTTTACCAACTGTGTGAAGGATGAAAACGTCGGGCAGGTAGGTGTGGCTCCGCTGAACCGGACCTGCTTCTGCCTGAGTACACTGCAGGTGATGTCACAGAGGGCGAGCTCCGTGAGGAGCAGTCCTGGGAGTGCCTTGTGGCCTGAGGGCCGGAGCGGCCGCTGAGCACTGATGTGTGTGGGGTGAGCACGAGGCAGGCGGTGGAGAGTGTCCTTAGTGTGAAATGTTTTGGGATGTCCAGGAGCTCACTTTGCCTGGTGTATCTGCAGAACCTTGCCGGACAGTTCATTAGAAGGCCCCCCGGGGAGACAGCACTGCTCGTCAGGGTGATGGGAGAGGGCTGGTGTGGTGACCCCACCAGCCACAGCTTCACTGTGACAGCAGCCATGGGGCAGAGTGCAGGTGGCTGTGCTGGAGCCTGGTGCCTGCAGAAGGGGACAATCTCATTGTGGTCAGGGAGACCTCTGGCTGTTCCTCTGAGAGAGGAACGGACGGGGGACTTTGGGTGCTGTTGTCCTTATTCAGAGAGGGCAGGAAGATGGCTTCGGGGTGCCCCTTTGAGATTGCATCGTGTGTGAGTGCACGTGTGCGCATGTGTGCATGCTCTGTGTGTGTGTGTCTGTGTATGGCCTGTGTGGGCGTCCTGGTGCATGTGTGTGTCCTCGTGTGTGTGTGTCTGTGTATGGCCTGCATGTGTGTCCTGGTGCATGTGAGTGCACATGTGTGTGTATGGCCTACGTGTGTGTCCTGTCAGCGTGCATGTGTCAGTGTGTATCTATGTATGTCCTGTTGTCCATGTGTCTCTGTGCTTGCAGATCATCCCGATGGTCACAGAGTTGATTGGGAGCAGCTGCCGCTATCACCGAGGAGAGGTGCGTTTTGGGGTGCAGTCTGGGAAGGGAGAGGTTTGTTTACCACCTGTCTCTCCTGATGACCGGAGACCTCAAAAGAAGGGCTTAGACTGTCCCCACTGAGATTGGCGGGGCTTCAGGAATGGCCTGGGGTGGGCTCCCTTTCATGGCCAGGCCGGAGATCTGAGTATGAGAGGGATGGTGACCCTGTTCTCCTGGCCCCGCAGAACCTGGAGTACTGCGTGATGGTGATTGGGATCCCCAACGTGGGCAAGTCCTCCCTCATCAACTCCATCAGGAGGCTGCATCTCAGGAAAGGTACTGTGGACTCCGTGTCCTTGTCCTAGAGGCACAAGGGGTGTTGAGGATCGTGAGGCCATAGCAGGCCCTAGTGTGGGTTTTCCAGGGCATTGGGGATTGTCCTGTGTCTCTTCTCACTTAGCAGTCTGACTTGTGAGAGACCTCACCGTCTGCTTCAGGTGTTATACTTAATTTGTGTTCTGTTTTAAGATCTGTGGTGAGAAGATGATTTTTCTAGACTTTGATGATTTTAGTTTCTTGTTTATTTCAATCCTCGTGATTTACGTAATTCACACAGCACACAGATGGGCTTTGAGTGTTAGGCAGGAAGGCCGACTTCCTAACCAGCATGTCTGGAGGTGTCAGAAACATGTGGAAAATGACATGGCTTCACCTCCAGCAGTGGCCTTGGGTGCTGTGTGTCTGTCCGTCCTGCTGCATGTGCCAGGATGTTCTCTGAGATGCCTGTCATCTTTGCAGCTCTGAGCCCTCAGGGTGTCTCCTTGGCTTGGTCACTGGTCTTGGTTCAGAACACAATGGCCAGGTCCTTCTGACTGGAACTGACTGTACTAGGCTTGGAGCAGCCCCTCCTTAGGGCATCGTGAGCTGGGTCCTGAGGGGGGCAGGCCTGGTTTTCTCCCCAGAGAACACACTGGGAGTCTTGCCCTGTGGCCAGGCCTCTGTGGCATGTGTGTAGAATGCAGGCTCTGCCTGGCTTCCCAAGTACAGAGGGGATAACCTCTGACCTTCTTGGGTGCTGGGGTGTGAGCTGCAGGCTGTGGGAGCCCTGTAGAACTGCACACCCCCCCTCCCCAGCACCGCCTGCGTGAGCTGATCTGGGGTGGATGTGAAGGGGTCCAGATAGGGATGCTCACTGGACCTGCGGGTAGGTCTGTCTGGCCAGACCCTCTTGGTCCCACACATGTCCTTTGTTGTGGATTCTGCGGTCTCTGCACCTTGCCTGTGTGTTCACTGCACACCTGACCCTTTGTGTCCTGCAGGAAAAGCCACCAGGGTGGGCGGCCATCCTGGGATCACCAGAGCTGTGATGTCCAGAATTCAGGTACAGCACTGGTGTGGGGCCAGAGCCCCTGCTCCCACGATAGGTGTTTTCTGAGGCTCATTAGGTGATGCCCCCCTACCTCCCATGCTTCTGCTGGGAGGCCACATAGCATCCAGGCAGAGCGTTGGCTCCTCCCAGCCCCCAGGCACCCTGTGCCTTCCCTGGAAGGTGAGAGAGCTGCTTGGGAGCTCATGCCCTCGTTTGTCTCGCCTTTGGTTGGGGGTTCAAGCCTCTGGGGCATTCTGGGCTTGGTGATGGTGGCATGGGCTGTGTGTTGGGTACCTCATCCAAGCCTGGGAAACCTGGCCTAACTCCAGGTCCAGCTGCCCTGAGGCTCCATGAAGTGGGTGGGGTGGAGGCTGTCCTTGGCCTGATGGCCCCCTGTCCGCTCAGGTGTGTGAGCGACCCCTGGTGTTCCTGCTGGATACTCCTGGGGTGCTGGCCCCTCGGATTGAGAATGTGGAGACAGGCCTGAAGCTGGCTGTATGTGGTGAGTTACACTGTCCCCCCACCTTAGGGTACCACCTAGGGACCCCCAGACTGGGCGGGGCTGTTAGACCTTTGCTGCTGCAGAGGGATTCTAAGCCATGGTGCAGTGGTGGTTCCCAGCCAGCGCCCGGGCACCCTTCAGACCCTGAGGGAGGAGCCTGGTCAGGTGATGTGGTCCAGGCCCTGAGGGCAGGTGTCATCTTCTGTTGGCCAGCAGGGCTGGGCTGGGGGTGGACCAGAGTGCAGTGGGTGCACAGCTGGGCTGCTCTGGGACTCACCTTCTGCTGGTGATCCTCCCAGGAACCGTGTTGGACCACTTGGTGGGTGAGGAGACCATGGCTGACTATCTCCTGTACACTTTCAACAAGCACCAGCTCTTCAGGTAAGGGGCAGTGTGGGGGGCAGGCGGCTCTCCTGTCCTCTCCCCTGGGTTCCGTGTAACAGAAGGCACTGTTAGGGTGACTGACAGGGCACTGTGACATATTTAAGATGAACAGCCTGACGAGCTCCGACACGAGACCATCATCTCAGTCAATTTGGTCACTACAGCTGCTTCCTATGCCCACACTCCCCCACACCCACTGATACGCATCCAGTCATGATCTGTGACACTTGGGGTTGGTGTGTCCTCTCTGTGTGACTCCTGCTCAGCCCACTTGTTGCGTGCGTCAGCAGTTCGTGTGTTTATCGCTGAGAGTGCTCCTGGTGGCTTATGCTGTTGTCTGTCTGTCCACCTCCTTGTGGTGGCTGTTTGGGCCATTGGCAGTTCATGACTGTAGTGGACACTCTGTGTGGAAGTTGTGAGTGGCCGTGTGCTTTTACTTCTTTTAGGTAAATACCTAAGAGTGGAGTGGCTAGTCATGTGGCAGGCCTGTGTTTGACTTTGTAGGAAACTGACAAAACTCCGGTCCAGAGCTGTTGCGCCATTTTACATCTCACCAGCAGAGGGCGTCTGGCTCTCCCACATCCTCACCAGCACTTGCTGCGATCACTCTGGATTTTACTCCATCTGGTGGGTGTGTGGAAGGAGCTCTGGTGGTGTAGTGATTGAGGCATTTGGCTGCTAACCACAAGGTTGGTGGTTTGAACCTCCCAGCTGCTCTGCAGAAGAAAGAGGAGGCAGTCTGTTTCCATGAAAATTTACAGCCTTGGAAACTCAGTGGGGGTTGCTGTGAGTCAGAACCGATTCAGTGGCAGTGGGTTTTGTTTTGGTTTGAGTGGGTGAGTGGAGCAGCTCTGGTGGTGCAGTGGCTGAAGCATTTGCCTGCTAATCAGAAGGTTGGCAGTTGAACCCACTAGCTGCTCTGTGGGAGAAAGATGTGGCACTTAGCTTCCATAAAGATGACAGCCTTGGAAATCCTGTGGGAGCAGTTCTGCTCTGTCCTGCAGGATCACCGAGCTGGAATGGACTCCACAGCAGTGGTTTTGGTTCAGGTGTAGTGAGTGTGCCCTTGTGTTGTGTATGGTTGTAATTTGCAGTAGCTAGAAGGCTGGCAGTTCAAACCCACCAGCCACTCCTCAGAAAGAAGGCTGGGCAGTCTATATCTGTAGTGATAACACCTCGGAAACCCAAGGAGGAGGGGTCGCTATGAGTCGGGTCTGACTCGATGGCAGTGGGCTTGTTTGTTTTTTTTTTAAGGATGCGGAACATCTTTCACGTGCGTGTTTGTCATCTGTATATCTTCTTTGAGGAAGTGTCCATTCAAATCTTTGGCACGCTTTTTTTTTTTTCCCTCTTGTGATTTGGGTGGAAGTTTACAGAGCAAATTCATTTTTCTTTCAACAGTTCATGAACATTTTGTTTCATGACATTCATTGCAGTCCCCACCATGTAACAGCTCTCTTCCCACTTCCTCCCTGTGGTTACCTTTTCCCTGTGTCCTTTTTTCCTGTGCATTCCTATCCTCTGAGCTGTCTTCCTGTGCAAATACTGCCCTTCTGATCTCCCCTGGTTGATTGTTCTAAGGAGTGCACCTCCCTGGTGTAATGGTTCACCTCTTGGGCCTGTCTGTTATTTGGCTAGAAGTTAGGCCAGAGGGTGACTTCAATTCCAGGCCTGCAAAAACAGCAAGGAGGCCACATGTTCTGACCTCCTCTAATCCCACAAGAGGAAGACAGGATTACCAGCAGTAACCCAAGGCCTATTACTGCAAGGCCGGACATGCGGCCTCCCTCCAGCCCTTTCACCGACTGTTCATCCCAAAGCACCCACCACCTCTCTCCTGGGTTCGGTAATTCGCTGCAGTGGCCACACAGAATTCACAGATTATGAAATTTATTAGGGAAGCACCAGGCTACAATTGGAGTTCAGGAGAAATGCCCAGTCTCTCTCTCAGCCCACCATCCCTCAGCCAACAGTCTCTCACAGTCTCTTTCCCAGCAGTGCTGGTCCCTCAGTGTCTCACTCAGCAATGCATGTCTCTTGCGTCTCTTTCCCAGCAACGCGTGTCTCAGGAGCCCGTGTCTCTTTCAGCAGCACGTCTTCCTCAACCAGCAGTCAGAGAGAGTTCTGCCTCTAGGAGGCCTCCTTTTGAGCCCGGCAGGGTGGTCAAACTAGCCAATCACAGCATCAGAACTCTAAGCACCTGAGAGAGAGTGGGCATCTCCCAGAACATTGTTTTGTGCCACTCCCAACAGAAATATTCCAGGTGGACAACTTCAGCAATCAGGAGCTCCTCAGTTGCTCATAGCAAATCCCTAGTTTACAAAGACTTATGGGTAGAAAAGCCACACTAAGTAATTTACTACACTGCCAGACCTGAAGGCTGATTAGGGGCCTTAGTCTCGGGGGTTTCAGCAGGCTCTGTCAGTCCACTAAACCTGGTCTTTTCTGAGATTTTGAGTTTTGTTCCACATTGTTCTCCCACTGTATGCAGGATCTCCAAATTTTGATCTTTTTCTGAGTGGGTGGCAGTGGCAGCTGGGCACCATCTAGTTCTTCTGTCTCAGGGTCGTGGAGACTGAGGTTCCCATGGCCCATGAGTCCTTTGGACTAATTGCTTCCATGGGTCTTTGATTTTCTGGCCCACTTTTTTTTTTTTTTTAAACCGAGTTGCTTCTCTTGCTGCTGAGTGGTGTAAGTTCTGTGTATGTTCTGTGTGCAGGTCCTAATTGAAGATGAGGTGTGTGAATAGTTTTCTTTTCATACCTTAGGGAGCTCTGGTAGTGTAGTGCTTAAAAGCCTTTGCTGCTATCCAGAAGGTTGGTGGTTGAAACCTACCAGCCGCTCTTGGGACAAGGATGAGGTTGTCTGCTGCGGTAGATTCATAGCCTTGGAAACCTTATGGGGCAGTGTCTGCCTCTGCGTGAGCTGTGAGGTGGCTCTCCATCCTGGCCTTCTGCATGTGAGGCTCTGGGTCCAGGAACTCTTGACTTGCTCTGTGTCACCCAGCAGGGTTGCAGCTCCTTGTGGGGGGGCTTCTCAGGCTCCCCTGGGGCTTCTCAGGTTGGGGTGGCATTTCTGTCAAGAGAGCTTTCTCTTCCCCTCACTCAGTGTTGGAAACATGTTGCACTATTGCTGGGTTTTAGCCTGTTGCTGGGTCAGCCTGCTTAGACCCTCACAAGGACCCCCACTGTTTGGGTCCTCTAGCAGTGCTCTAACAGATGTACCACAAATGGATAGCTTTAGCAGACAGGGAACAGGGATTTAGTTTCTTACAGTTTAGGAGGCTAGAAGTCTGAGTTCAAGGTGCCAGCTCTATGGGTTGGGTGAAAGCCCCTTGACCTTGGATTTCAGCTCTGCCTCTTGCTTCTAGCCCACTGAAGCTGGAGGCTTCTCTTAACTCAGACAGTTGCTGGCTGCTGAAGCTTACAGTAACCAAGGTCGACAAATAAAATGGGACAGTCCCAAAGTTATCAAACAACATGGCAGGCCACTAGTTCAAGTCCAGAAATAACTCTAAACTCAGCAGACCACATGCAGGTCACCAGTTCAAGTCTAGAAACAATCCCAAGACCGGTAGCCAACATGGCAGGCCATTGAGATGAAGACTTGGCTACATGCAGGGTCCAAGTATGCCAGAAACTCAGAGACTGTCCCCAAAGCTACTTATACACTGGAAGTAGACCATATCCCTAAGGCATCAGCTGCTCTAGTAGATGCCACCATCGAGTTGATCACCCATCTCCTCATGGGGAATAACTACATCCAGCTGCCCAGCCACTCAAAACCAGGCCCAGCCAAGTTGACATACAAGCTCAACTACCATACCCACCCTCACTCACACCATGGACTCCTACCCTCAACACAGACCCCACCTTCACTACGGGGCTCCACCCCAGCCTCACCAGAGACTACCCTCACTGTGGGGCCCCACCCGTGGGAGGTGGTCCATGGCCGAATGTGGGCTCTGATTTGGGAGGTGACTGGCCTGGCCAGCTGCCTGGTGTGTCCCTGGGCGTTGGTCCCCTGACCTGCTTCTGTGCAGGTATGTGCAGCACTATGGCCTGGGCAACGCCTGTGATGATCTGGAGACCGTGCTGAAGAGGGTGGCTGTGAAACTAGGCAGGACCCAGAAGGTGAAGGTGCTCACGGGCACCGGTGAGTGACGTGTGGGAGCGGGGAGACCAGGTGCCCCTACTGCACAGGGGTCCTGGGTGAGGTGGGCAGAGAAGGGATGAAAAGGCAGGGGGAAGGGGGAGGACACTGAAGTGAACACGTGCTCCTGGGAGAGAGGAAGGGGGCTCTTGGTTCCACCTTCAGAGGGTCAGAGTCTGGACCTGCTTTACCCGGACCCTGGACAGTGGTGCTTTGGAGGTTGCAAGGACCTCCAGATACAAGGACCCCTTAAGCCCTGTCCTTTCCCCTCCAGCCTTGGTGTCCCACATCCTTGGTGTCCCCCCTCTGGCCCTGGGGTCCCCCCGTCCTCTCCCCTCCGGCCTTGGGGTCCCCCGTCCTCTCCTCTCTATCTCTAGTCCTGTGGCTCCCCCACCCTCTCCCCTCTGGCACTGGGGTCCCCCGTTCTCTCTGGTCCTGTGTTCCTCCCATCCTCTCCTCTCTCGTCCTGGGGTCCCCGCATTCTTTCCCCTCTGATCCTGAGGTCCCCCCCTTCCGGTCCTGGGGTCCCCTCGTCCTCTCCCCTCCAGCCCTGAGGTACCCCTGTCCTCTCTGGCCCTGAGGTCCCCTTGTTCTCTCTAGTTCTGGGGTCCCCCGTCCTTTCTCCAGTCTTGGGGTGCCCTGCTCCTCTCCGGTCCTGGGGTCCCTCTGTCCTCTCCTCTCTGATCCTGGGGTCCCCTTGTCCTCTCCCCTCCAGTCCTGGGGTCCCCCATCCTCTTTGGTCCTGAGGTCCCCCTGTCCTCTCCCCTCCAGTCCTGGGGTCCCCTCATCCTCTCCCCTCCAGTCCTGGAGTCCCTCCGTCCTCATCTCTCTGGTCCTGGGGTTCCCCGTCCTCTCTGGTCCTAAGGTCCCCCATTCTCTCTAGTCCTGGGGTCCTCCCATCCTCTCCCCTCTAATCCTGAGGTCCCCCCATCCTCTCCCCTCCAACTCTGGGGTCTCCCCATCCTCTCCAGCCCTGGGGTCCCCCTGTGCCCCACCCTCACATCAGATACCCCTGTTCCTCCCACAGGGGATGTGAATGTTGTGCAGCCCAACTACACTGCAGCAGCCAGCGACTTCCTGCGGGCCTTCCGCGGTGGGCTGCTGGGCCCTGTGATGCTGGACCAAGACATCCTGGTACCCTGATGGTCACACTTGCTTGGCTGGCAGTTCCATTTGGGGGTGTTGCTGTATCACGGAGGCCCCTGCTCTGCCCAGCTACGCAGTTCCTGGTCACAGTGACTGCCAGGGGTCTGGACCTCAAGAATCTCAGGGGTGGAGCAGTGACTGAGCCAGGGGGCCTGGCCTTCAAGGACCCCAGGCAGGACAGTGGCTTCTCTGAGCTATTTTGGGAGCCCAGCTAGGGTAGGGGCTGGCCCTCGAGGACCTCGGGGGACAGTGGCTTCTCTGAGCCATCTCATGAGCGCAGCTGGGGTAGGGCCTAGCCTTCAGGGACCTTGGTGGACAGTGGCTTCTCTGAGCCGTCTCGTGAGCCCAGCTAAGGTAGGGCCTAGCCTTCGGGGACCTTGGGGGACACTGGCTTCTCTGAGCTTTCTCGTGAGCCCACTTGGGGTAGGGCTTGGCCCTTGAGTGCTCATGTGCAGTGTCTTGTAATGGCTTTGTTGTCTGGAACGAATTAAAGCCGATTGAAAAGGGCATCTCTCTGCTGACCACACATGGGACACCCCGGGTTCTGGGCCACCTGCTAAAGCCCGTTGCACAGCAGGAGCTCTGGGCTGTGACCAGGCCAGTGACTAAGGGCGCCTGCCTCAGACTGTGCTCCAGAGTCAGCCCCGCAGTCGCAGAGGTGTGTCACCAGCCAGCGCTTTATTTTCACAACACTTGAATGCACACGCACAGACAGGTGGTTCCAGTAATCATGGCAAAATCAAGGACCAGCTAGCTTTTTGTGCTCCTTCGTATGGGCAGCAGGGGTCACCCAGGGAGTGCAGGAGAGCCCTGGGCCCTGGCATCTTAGGCACCTGCTGGCTGACCAAGGAGCAGTGGGGTGTGCTGTGTTAGGACCAAGTCACTGAGTGTCTTTGCCACTGAGCTTGGATGGGCCTGGGGTGCCTGAGCACCACCAGCTACTCTCTAGAACAGGGATCGGTAGGGTGGACATAGAGGAGAGGTTCCTGATCTACCTGGTGGTGGCCCTGTTCTGAGCTGGGCCCTTCCATGACCCCCCCTAGACCAGGCTGTGCTCATAGTTCCCGTGTCTCGTGCACCGTTGCACAGCACAACACGGCGGTTTGCAGTTGTCCGTTCTGTGTGCCAGCTGCTTCCCACTGGAGCCTGGCCGAGGGGTACCAAATGCTGGGCAGGCCCCTGGAAGTCAGGATGGTGTTTCACGGACACTCTAGATTCAGGGGTACCTCTTCCACCTCACACCTGGAGGATGAGGACTCCCACAGCTGCAGTCCATGTGCTGCTCTGGGCTGTGGGCCCTGACTAAGGCCAAGCTCACTTCCAGGACCACCACTAGTTCTCCAAGGCGAGGTGGTCAGACTTGGGCAGATCTGCTCCTGGCTGGTCAGGAGTAGAGCAAGGAAATCTGTCACAGGGACATTGGCAGCAGTGTGCACACAGCCAGGGTTGGCAGCTTTGTACCTGTCTTTGGAGAGGAATGCTGGGTTCAGGCCACCCCGGGTCTACCATGTGAGCTGTGGGAGAGCCAAGATGGGGGGCAGGTCCCTGCAGTCCTGGGAGGTGCTAGTCTCAATGCTGGTGTCCACTGACTGAGTCAAAGGCACAGGCCTCGGTCCTGAGGTGGCTGATCGGAGGGCAGAGCACCGAAGGAGGTGAGGTCTCGCGGCTGCAAAAAGCTACCCCACCTCGGAATGAACGGTCATCAGTTGGGAGACGTTTACAGCAGGTCCGGAAGGGATCTGGAAAGCAGCTTAGACCCTGGCAGCCCTCGGTAAGTGGACCAGGCTGGTGTCAGCTTTGCGGAGGACGGGCACGGAGGGATGACTTTTGGTAAGGACCTGTGGCGTTTCCTGGTGGTCTGAGGGTCTTCAGGGTTTCTGCCCTGTCCTCAGTGTCCTGTGGTGTCCAGGTGAGCCATGGTGGCCCGGGGGCTCCACGTTCTCCTGTCTCACTGTTCTAGGTGCCCTGGAACAGGAGCAGCTCATCTGGTGCTGGGACCCACTCTGGGCGCTGGGGCCCATGTATCTGACGAGCTCCTGGCCTTGATGACCAGGCTGGCCCCGCGCCTGTGCCCCCACACCACTCTGCTGGCCTAGGGAGGCCACCAGGATTGCTCCCAGACCACACTGCTAGGCAGTTGTGCCCAGGTAGGGCCTCTTCATGGGACTGGCAGCTCCTGTCTTGAACCCAGGTGGGAACTTGGACCCCAGAATGTGAACCTCAAGTTCAAAGATGATGGCAGAGTTAAACGAATTTTGTTCCAAGTCATTGGAGTGAAGTGGCTCAGAGGGAAAGGAGACCCTTCCCCCAGGATAGTGGGCCCTGGCCTCCCAAGAGGTCTGCCTGGGTGAGGCTGGGCATGGCAGAGATTGGTGGCAAAGCCGTGGGGCCCTGTGGCAGGTGTGCTTAGAAATGTCTGGAGGTGGCCCGGTGGGCTTTCCCTACATGGCCCCCCACCACAGGCACCTTCCTGGCCAGGGGAGTCCGCGGCCCTGGGGCAGGTGGAGTCGTTCTGGGGCCCACCCCTGGTAGGTGGGATGGAGTGGGGCTTAGGGAGCGGCCATCGTCTCAGGAGGGGCTGTACCGCGCCCCGTCTCGCGGCTGGAACCACCCAGGTATCCCTTCTGGGCTCCACCACTACGGACAGCGAGGGGGTGGGGAC